TGTCTTAAAAAGCCATCACAAATGCTTCCCATGTCGGTTCTATTCAGCCTGCCCTTGGCGTATTTTCACCATTGACCCGTGTCCCCCTTGAGGTAGTAACTCACAAGAGTCACTCTAAGCTCACTGTCTTCCATATGAAGCATCTCGAATGTCTTCACTTTCTGTTCAAGCCATTTATCCGCTTTCTTACGCTCGAGGCCACCATGGAACTCATCCGGTTTGGCTCGCAAAAACTCTCTAGTGAGAAAGCTCGCCTTCATTGCTACGGAGTTCTCTCCAGTTTGGGTCTCCGCCTTTTGTACGTTCATCGACTCTCTCAAGGCCCCCGCCATTTCTTGGGCTAGGGCCCCCATTGTGGCTTGACCCGCTTGCCCTAGAATTTCCGCTTGCCCCACTTGCTCAGCCATATTAGCTTGGCCCAACCCTTCCTCTTGCACTGGAACCTCATGAACCAGTAATTCATGCACACCCCAGCGAGCCCTACCATGCCTTCCACTCCTACCACCACAAGTTTGATCCCTTCCTGACATCCTAATTAAGGAACAAGATAAATAATTTAGCACATAAGCTCAAATGTGCTCGCGAATCCTCTCACCCATTTGAATACGACAATTCTACACAATTTCTACCATACAAACAATTCAATCCGCTCTACATAAGCACTTAGTTACGTAAGCATATACGAATTATTCTTTTGTGATGAGATTCATCCCACAAAAATCAAGAATTCTTAGTAGAATGAGTATTGATCAAGTACCCTTCTAATAAGACCTCTAGGAATTTAATAGGCACAAATAACATCCCAAAAGTCCAATCCCATACGCATATTGTCACATAAGCATGTTATTGCATAATCACGAAAAACAAAACATTTCCTAATCATGCGAAATGAACCCACTGTGGAAAAACAACCACTTCCCGCGAGCCCCAAGTATTCAAACCTGATAGCTTTGACACCAAGTTGTAACGCCCCGAAATAACCCACACCAACTAGGTACATTAACTAACATCCATTAAGGAATAATAGCAAGATTCCAACCTTTACACCATTAATCAATAAGGTTTGTACAAAAATTCCACATGTGAGTTATACATTCAAAAGTATAAAAATACATGAATTTATAGCATGTAGAACATCAAATCCCAAAAATAATAAAATGCCGTCATGGGCTTACAATTTCCAAGGCTTAAGCCCAGTTACACAAAAATGGTTTCACGAACCCATACATTTAAATCCCCTGGCTAGCAAATAAATAACAGCAGAATAGAGTCATTTACTCTTCACAAAAAATTTTCCATGCCCTCAACTCGGCGGAATCACTACACCTTTTCCTGCACCAAAATCCCATAAGGGGTGAGCATAAAGCCCAGTAGAGAATCCTTAACAAAGTATATACATTTATGCAGATTTTTGATATTAAATACAAATGCCTTGCAAAGCCAATTAAAAGAGAATTTCATTTACATGCCTTTTAAAAAGTCTCAATGTTCAACCATAAGTTGAAATCTCAACAACTCTGAAATTTACAATTTTACTTAATGGGGCAGTAAATATGGCTCAGGTAATCCCTAGGTTAGTGTCTGCAAGAAGGCGCAACTAGCACTACCAAAAACCCCCATTTTACCAGTTGCTAACCGGAAGGGAAGTGGTACCTCCTCCGCGCGTGTTTTCGGTCTTTCACCCCGAACACTCAAGCCCATTTATCAATTCCATCTACACCTCCTATCTGGACTTACCAACGTATTTACCCCCAAAACATTTCCTTAGTTCTCTTTTCTCAACAATTCTTTTCTCAATGCGAGATAATCAACTTCAAATCAAAACATGCAATAACCAAACAATAGTGTATGAAAAATAATAATTGATAATGCTACAATAATCATTTCCTTTTCATTCTTAAATATTTCAACAATAATCTCAAAATAAACGAGCTTTCATTCCTTCCGTTCCTTACCATCTCACAATGGAACCATGTTCCCATTTAAATTGATTGACAAATAACCACATTTCCACCTCTCAAGCAATTCCAACAACATAGTCATTTCAAGACTATAGCAACAATTGAACATTAATTTCTTTCCAACACCAACAATTCCCCTATTTTATGAGATTCATCATTTGTAACTATAAGTAAGAATCTTTCCTTTCTTTAACTCATTTGATATACAAAATAATGCATTAATAATATAATTCCATGAGTTCTCACCATTTGTTTTGAAAACCCCCAATTTCTAGGTTTTACTTCCACCACCACAATACACACACCCAAACATTTGAAAGAAACTTGCAAAGAGGACATTACTCCTTAACCAAGGTTATTCAAACCCACCTTTGAAAACCATAACATGCGTAACCCACCTTTTAAAAGAAACATGCGTAACCCACCTTTGAAAACCATAACATTCTTGCACCAAATGTAAAACTTTCAAATTATCATCAAGAAGTTCCAAATTAAACATCAATCTAGAAAAAATTTATATATAACTCAAAGAAAACCCTACCTCAAGTTCTTGATGAAGAGGTGAGATGAAACCCTAGAGCCAAAGATGAAAAATCTTCGATTTCCACCACACAAAGTGAAGTTCTAGCTTTGATCTCCAAAACTTGTGAGAGATGATGGATCTAGAACCAAAGGATTGCAAGAAATCAAAGGTTTTGGGTGCTTTGGTGGAGGTTTTTAGAGAGAAGGAGGAGCAAAATACTTTTTAGAGTGAGAAGGAAGTGTTAAAAGTGATATAGATTCAGCCCGAAAGAAGGGAAAAAAATAGAGGTTTCGGACTACCCAGCGTCCTGCATGTGCGGCACGTGCCCCCGCATGTGCGGAGCCTACTTCCCTCAAGTGTGGCCCTGATCCCCACACGTGCGGCCACCTAATCCGCCCTTTGCCCCGCACCTGGATATAATGCAATGTGCAAGCCTGAAAATGCCACACCTTCCTGCATATGCAGCCTTGGTCTTTCCAACCCATAATTTCTCAACCCAATTCTAGGCACTTTAGACCTAACCTCGCACTCTTTGGAACCAGAGAAATCCAACACCGGGACAAGTATGAACAAAATTTTGAGAAGGATTTCGTACACAACAAACCCAAGCAATTAATAAGACTCCAAGTTAAACCGGCATCCCAACATAACCAACCCAAAGTTAAACGAGGGAAAGAAAAAGAAAATGAGACATGTAGCGCACCCGATCATCACAGATTAAATAACATATGACCCCATAGGATTTGGTTTTTCATCAATTAACCGTTGTTATGTTGACTACTTTTAATAAGATTAAAGAAAACAAAGCTAATATTTTTATTTTGTTGTCATAAATTTTGTATTCTAAATATTAAGTGACAAATACTATTCATTTATTTTTTTGAGTTGATTATAATTTTATCACAGTCTTATTTATTTCATATTTACATTATCAATTTCGTTTATTTAGTCTTTGAAATATTCATGAAAATAACTAACAATACAACATTGGCATGATAAAAGTCTCTCCACTCATAATCAATGGTTTTAAGTTGAATGTACATCCCACATCCATAAAACTTTAACCGGTCAATAATAGGATGGGTTCAGGCCCGCCCATCTTATATTTTTAAAACCCATAACCTATTCATGTGCTTAAAAAAATGGGCCTATGGGTCTCAGGGCAGGCTTAGCTCATATGGGCCTAATTTGACATAACTTTCAGCTTTAATTCTGATTTTTTTTTATTAAATTCCAAAGTTATTAAAAAATAAAGATTTGTAATACAAAATTTTGAAGTACATTAGAACAACTATAGTCACTTTTTCAATCATGTGTTATGTTGACTACTTTTAATAAGATTAAAGAAAACAAAGCTAATATTTTTATTTTGTTGTCATAAATTTTGTATTCTAAATATTAAGTGACAAATACTATTCATTTATTTTTTTGAGTTGATTATAATTTTATCACAGTCTTATTTATTTCATATTTACATTATCAATTTCGTTTATTTAGTCTTTGAAATATTCATGAAAATAACTAACAATACAACATTGGCATGATAAAAGTCTCTCCACTCATAATCAATGGTTTTAAGTTGAATGTATAGCCCACATCCATAAAACTTTAACTGGTCAATAATAGGCTGGGTTCAAGCCCACCCATCTTATATTTTTAAAACCTATTCATGTGCTTAAAAAAATGGGCCTATGGGTCTCAGGGCAGGCTTAGCTCATATGGGCCTAATTTGACATAACTTTTAGCTTTAATTCTGATTTTTTTTTATTAAATTCCAAAGTTATTAAAAAATAAAGATTTGTAATACAAAATTTTGAAGTACATTAGAACAACTATAGTCAGTTTTTCAATCATGAATTCTTTTTCTTTTTTTTAAATTTTTTTTATTTATTGAAATACAAAATCACCTATGTTATGATTATGTTATTGAATTATATGCATCTTTAGTCTCATAGAAATTTAATTACTAGTTTCATATAGATGGCATGCTAATTTTTTTATTGTTAAAATTATTATTTACTAAAAAAGGATATATTCTCGTAAGAAGGAGGGGAAAAAATGTGGAAAAAAAAAAAACCAATTGTTTAGTGTATATAGGTCCAATGTGGGCTTTTGGGATGGTCCTATGGGTCGAGTTTCGGGTCAGGCCTCAAAACACCCATGAGGCCCAGAATCCCTATCCTTCAATCTAAGCCCAACCCCAACCCATATGTTTTAGGGTTCAGTCAAGTCAGGCCAATGCTAGGCCAAAAATAATTGGAAGATTACCATAACCAAAATTTTGAAATGGGAGCCTAGAGAAAGATCAATAGTGTCATCATTATATCAATAAGGAGCCTAGAAAAAGATCAAGAGAGTGTCATCATTTTATGAGAGAGAGAGAGAATACTATTTAACAAACTTGATTATTATACAATCATAGGAAAATAACAATCCACTTATTTATGCTATATTGCAACATATTTATTTAAAGTTTAACAAATAATAGATTCATAGGTTCTCCAATCTTTCTTTCTTTAGTTGTTGGGCCACCAAAATTGAGCTTGAAGATAGTCTATCACCTTCTTGTCCACTTGGAATGCCTCGACAAGAACATCATCAGAAATCCTCGGATTTGACCTGAACATCGCATTAGCAACAGTAATAGTTCTCGGATTTTGGCTATTTAGGGCAGTAAGCGCTACTGCATTAGTCTTTCCATTATTAAATTGAAAGTGAATAAGACCTTGGGGGAACACAAAAACATCCCTTGGGTACAAGACCTTTGTGAAGAGACGATTGTCAGTGTTGGAGGTCACGAAACCCACGTAGAGAGTACCGTCCAAGACCATGATGACCTCACTTGCACATGGGTGTGTGTGGGGTGGGTTGATGTAACGCCCCAAATTTCTAGCCCAAATGATAATGCAACAATCACGGCTCTCTTAAAGGAAAACCAAATATAACTTCCCATACTTGCATTACATAATAATAATAGGTCCTTATGCGGTATTACATTGATTCAACAACAAGTGAATAACCAAATAAGCACCCCAAGGGTTTACAATCTTCCAAGGCTTAAGCCTGGTAGACAAAATGGTTATTCAAACCCACACATACATAGCCCTTGGCTTACAAATAGGATCACAGCAAATGAGAACTTTAGTGCTCTCAACACACAGATTTCCATGCCTTCAATTAGGCGGATTCACCATGTCTTTTCTTGCACAAAAATCCGGTAGGGTGAGCACAAAGCCCAGTAGGAAATCCTTAACAAAGTATATACAATTTATACAAGTCTCAAGAGATGAATGCACATGCCATGCCATGCCTTTTTGAAAATAAAACACATCTTCATCTTTTGAAAACTATCATGCTCAATGATGTCATGCTCAATGATGTTATGCCATGCCATGCCTTATGCAAAATACAACTCTGGTAATCCTTAGGTCGGTGTCTGCAAGTAGACTATACGAGTACTACCAATTGTCATTTTTACTAGTATTAACCGAAAGGCTCGACACCTATCCGCGCAACTTTCTGGTCTTGCACCAAGGACACTCAGGCTAACTTAAACAATTTCATCTACACCACCTATCAAGACTTACCACCGTATTTATCCCAAAACCATTTCATGAAAACAATTTCCCAACATTCTTTTCTCAATGCAAATTTCCAAAGCGTAACATAGTTCAATGAATTGAAATGCCAATGTATGCTTAATAATGTAATGCAACATTACTTCCATATTCAATTGTTCCACACAATATACCATTGTGATCAAAATTCCCAATCCTCTTTTGAACACAATTCCACAAGATGTATATATATATACTTTGATATCCAATTCATTCAAGAGAATAACGTAATTCCCACATTTCAAGCAATCTCAACAATTTAGTCAATTCAAGACCAAATCAACATTTTGACAACAATTTCCAAAATAAACAACATTTCTCATTTTTTTCACAAAATTTGTCATTTATATATAAATAAACAATTTTCAAAACATCCATTTATTTTGGTATACAAAATAAATATGACAACATCTTCCAAGGATTTTCAACATCTTTAAAAAAAAAAGACCCAATTTCTAAGTTTTCTAGCCAAAACCATTCATCTCCAAGATATTTAGAAGAATCTCCCCAAAATCATCTTTCTTCAATCAATATGGTTCAAAACCTTCAATTTCTATTTTAAAAGGAAAAGAAATTAAACCCTCTTTCAAAATCACTCATCTTCTTGAAATCAACAATCAATTTGTCAAAGTTAATCAAAGGATGATTTCGAAAATCATCTAGATCTTGCAAAAACATATATATAACTCTAAGAAAATCCCTACCTCAAGTTTTGAAGAAGAAATGAGTTGAAACCCCTAAAATCAACAGTGTCGAAACTCGATCTTCACCGCACACAACGAAGCCCTCGAGATGATAACCAACTTTGGTGAAGAACTTAGGTCTAAATCCCAATGGATTTGGAGAAATCAAAGAGAGAAGATGACTTATAGAGAGAGAAGCTCCCGATCTGGAATTCTGGAGAGTTTTAGAGAGAGAGAGAGGACTAAAAAAGTGATCTGAAATATTAGATTCACGAAATGATATAACATGGTCCGCTCAAGCGTGGAATGCCCCACTCAAGCGTCAAATACACTAACTTAGTACTTTTGCAGATAGGTCAAACTTCTGAAACCAAACATTCTTCGCTCGAGTGCATAAATGGCTGCTCGAGCGGACAAGCAACTTCAAATGCATTTTGCATTTTTGTTTTGGGGGCATTGCCCTTCAACCCCGCCAGGGCGCTGCCCTAGGACCCGCTAAGCGGCGTTGCCCCCTAGACCCCCCGCCAGCTGACCGAGCAGCTCGACCCCTACCAGGGTGCTGCCCTTGGACCCGCCAAGGGGCGCTGCCCCCTGGACCCCCGCGAGCTGACCAGGCAGCTCGAGCCCCGACCGGCCCAGTCGAAGTGGCAAAACAGGAAAGAAGGATTGAAACCGGGATCGCTACAACCTTCCCCCCTTAAAGAATTTCATTCCCGAAATTTCAAATCAAACTACCCAAACAAAGGGGTTTCTAGCAATCAAAGCCACGCTATTTCATTTTGAAATTACAATACTAACTCTCAACCAAATTCCACCATTTCACCATGGTTATCCCATTAACAACAACCTCCCAAATATGCGTAAACATGAGATTTCCCAAAAAGTAATGGCAACTCTAAACAACCTTATGCTTAAAACAACAATGCACATATCAACATGTGGTTAACAACTTTAAACAGGTTTTCCCTCAACACTAGGGAATATTACAAAGAAAAGAAACTTAAGCATTTTCAAATAAATTCAGATATTTGCAGTGGACTTCTGCCTCTCGTTCCCACGTCGCTTCTTCAACCCCATGGTACCTCTACGACACCTTCACCAATGGTATAGTTTTGCCCCGTAGCACTTGCTCCCGGGTATCTAATATTTGAACCGGTCGTTCTTCGTAAGAGGCATCCTTATCTATCTCCAAGTCAACCCAAGCAAGAACATGAGAACGGTTGGGTTCATACTTCCTAAGCATAGATACATGAAATACGTTTTGAACTACCGAAAGTTGTGGCGGAAAAGCTAACCGGTATGCCACTTCCCCAATTCGCTCTAAGATCTCAAAAGGCCCAATGAACCATGGAGATAATTTACCACTCTTACCAAATCTCATCAAACCTTGCCTTGGTGAGATTTTTAGAAACACATGGTCACCATCTTCAAAAGATAAAGGTTGTCTCCTCTTATCGACATAACTCTTTTGTCGGCTTTGGGCCATAGCTAACCTCTTCCGAATGAGAACAACTTTATCGGTTGTTTCTCTAATAATTTCCAGACCCAGTAATGGTGCATCACCCACTTTGGCCCAACAAACCGGTGATCTACAAGGTCGGCCATATAAGGCCTCAAATGGTGCCATCCCAATACTATCTTGGTAACTATTGTTGTAAGCAAACTCAATCAATGGTAAGTGCTTTTCCCAAGGCCCCTTAAAATCAAGGACACAAGCTCTAAGCATGTCCTCCAAAATCTGAATGGTACGTTCTGACTGTCCATCAATTTGAGGATGATAAGCGGTGCTAAGAGTCAACTTAGTTCCCAACGCCTCTTGAAGGCTTTGCCATAATCGGGCAGTAAAATGAGGATCCCTATCCGACACAATAGTCACAGAGACTCCATGAAGTCGAACTATCTCTCTGATGTACAACTCTGCCAAGAGTTCAACTGAGTTGTTGGTGCACATCAAAATGAAATGGGTAGACTTAGTCAACCTATCAACAATCACCCAGACGGCGTCATTGCCTCATTGTGTTGTAGGAAGCCCAACTACAAAATCCATGGTAACATGCTCCCATTTCCACTCAGCTATTGGTAAGGGTTGTAACAAACCCGCTGGTCTTTGGTGTTCGGCCTTCATTTGTTGATAAGTAAGGCACTTTGATACAAATAAAGCGACATCCCATTTCATACTCCTCCACCAAAACTGACGACTAAGATCATGATACATTTTAGTGCCTCCCGGGTGTACCGCAAGGCGTGAGTGATAGAACTCCCGAAGTACTTCCTCTCTACAAGATTTTGGTACAAACAATTGGTCTAGGTAACGTACACTTAGATCCAAGTGAACGTTCAAACCTTTCTCTTCCTTTCCATTGGAAATCTTAACATGGATTGATTCCACATCACGGTCTCCTCGTTGTGCCTCGATGACCTTACTAACCGAGGTAGGTTGAGCATTCAAAGTAAATAAGGTAGCACTCTCTCTGGACTCACCCAAGTGCAAATCAAACTTGCCAATAACATCTAGCATATCCCATTCTTGAATGGCCACAATTGCCAAACTACTCACAGGTTTTCGACTCAAAGCATCGGCCATCACATTGGCCTTCCTTGGATGATAGTGTAACTCAAAATCATAATCCTCCATAAATTCCATCCACCTCCGTTGTTGTAAATTCAAGTCTTTTTGAGAAAACAAATACTTTAGACTCTTATGATCAGAGAAGACTTCAAATTTCTCACTATACAAGTAATGCCTCCAAATTTTCAAAGCAAAAATCACCGCTGCTAATTCTAGATCATGGGTGGGGTAATTTTTCTCATGAGTTTTCAATTGTCGTGAACCGTAGGCCATAACTTTTCCCTCTTGCATCAAGACACAACCAAGTCCATCCCTAGATGTATTACAATAGACAGTGTAATTCAAACCCCTTACCAGAATTATCTAGACCGGTGTGGTGGTCAATCTAGTCTTAAGTTCTTGGAATGGCTTTTCACAAGCCTCACTCCACACAAATTTGATACTCTTTCTAGTCAACCTAGTCGAAGGTGCAGCTAGTCTAGAGAAGTCCCTAACAAAACGTCGATAATACCCCGCTAATCCCAAGAAACTCTGGATCTCAAAAACATTCTTGGGTTGTTCCCAATCTTGTACGGCATCTATCTTTGAGGAGTCTACTGTTACTCCCTCTCTTGACACTACGTGCCCCAAAAATTTTACCTCAGTTAACCAAAACTCGCATTTCTCAAACTTGGCATACAAACGGTGTTTCTCATGCAATTCAAGCACTACCCATAAGTGAGCCTCGTGTTCGTCCTCGGAGGTTGAATAAAGTAAGATGTTATCCACAAAGACGACCACAAAACGGTCCAAGTATTCCCAAAAAATTCCGTTCATCAAATACATAAAGGAAGCAAGTGCATTGGTTAACCCAAAAGGCATTACAAGGAATTCATAGTGGCCATAACGCGTACGAAAGGCCGTTTTCTGAATGTCCTCCTTCCCCGGACTCTCAACTGATGGTACCCCGACCTCAAATCTATTTTTGAGAAGCAACGAGACCCTCGAAGTTGGTCAAACAAATCATCTACTCTAGGTAAAGGATACTTGTTCTTAACTGTAACTCTATTCAACTTGCGATAATCAATACACAACCGCAATGACCCATCCTTCTTCTTCGTAAAGAGAGTCGGCGCTCCCCAAGGCGATGTACTAGGGCGAATGAAGCCCTCGCCTAAATTTCTTGAAGTTGAATCTTCAACTAATGCAATTCGACGGGTGCAAATCTATATGGTGACATGGAAATCGGTGCCGTGCCAGGCACTAATTCAATAGAGAACTCGATCTCCTGGTGAGGTAGTGAACTAGTAAGATCTTCTAGAAAGACATCCGGGTATTCACAAACTACCCTTGGTAACTCAACATGAGCCCTGTCACTCTCACTATCCAAGAGAGTTGCAAGAAGGCCATTAAGCTTGCTCCTACTACGAGGGTCAACAATTGGTGACAAGGGTCTATCAACTCGGATCCCCCGAAAATAGAAATGATCACCACCCGAAGTGCACATGGCAAGTCTCTGACGGTAACAATCAATCATAGCTTGATAAGAACACAACCAGTCCATGCCTAAAATGACATCAAAACTCGACATATCTAGCAACACAAAAGCAAACGGAAGTCGATGCCCGGCAACTTCTATTTCACAATCACGACAACCCCGGTTTAAATCAATTGTACCCCCAACAAGTGACTGTACTCTGAGTGGAGGCACTAACTATGCTAGCTCTAACCCCAATGCAGAAGCAAATGCAGTAGATATAAATGAATGAAACGTGCCTGTGTCTATCAATACATTAGCCAAAGAATTACACACAACAAAAATACGTCTCACAATTGAGGATTCCGGCAACTGCTCTGGTACGGTAACAGCATACACGCACCCCTGTGGCCCCTGATTAACTTGCCCCCCTCTCGGAGCATAGGCCTATTATACCGACTGAGCTGAAGTGGCTCCCTGATTAGCTTGTGAAGCTTGAACTGAATGAGCCTGCTGGCGACTCTGAGTCTGCTTCGACCCTAATGCGCCAAGTGCGCCTCTCAACTGAGGGCAAGTTCTCTACATATGCCCCAGCTGACCACACTGATAACAATTAAATCCCTGGCCTCCATTCTGAGACTGAGACTGACTTTGAGATCGGTTAGGTGGTGGTGGTGGCAACATCAACTATCCTCCACCCTTCTGTGGGCACGAAAAGCCTTTGTGTCCTGGCTGGCCACATTTGAAACACGTGAAGCTACTAGATGTACTTTTTTTTGGAACCACACTAGGCAAAGGAAAAGTGTATTTTGACTACCGTGGTTGTGGCTAGAATGAAAAAGTACCCCTACTCTTCTTATCCTGCCTATAGTCTCCTTGGGAGGCCCCTAGGCCTCGAACTCTGAAGCCTCTCCTCCTCGGCTTGTACGAAAATCTCAACGTATGCCGCCGACTCTACAAGACGGTCATAGTTCCGAATCACGTTCCCAACAATCTTAAAGAAAATTTTGGTTTTCAACTTTTTCTCGAATTCAATGCAACGACACTCTTCCGTTGCCACCAACTCTGGTGCAAACCTAGATAAACTAGAGAAGACTACCTCGAACTCGGCCACAGTCATGTCGAGTTGTTTGAGGAATTTGAACTCTTGCCTCAATCTCTCCCTTGCAGCAGAAGGTAAATACTTATCTTGGAAAGCAACCACGAAGGCTTCCCATGATGGCTCCACCCTACCCTTGGCATACTTCACCACTGACCCGTATCCCCTTTAAGGTAGTAACTTGCTAGAGTCGCCCTCAACTCGCTATTATCTATATGAAGCATCTCGAACGTCTTCACAGTTTGTTCGAGCCACTCATCCGCTTTCTTGGGCTCGGGGCCACCATGGAATTCATCTGGTTTGGCCCGTAAAGACTCTCTAGTAAGGAAACTCGTTCTTGACTCCACGGTGTTCTCTCGGGCTTGATTCTCCGCCCTCAACACATTCATAGACTCCTTCAAATCCCCCGCCATTTCTCGAGCTAGGGCCCCCATTGCGGTTTGACCCGCTTGTCCCACTTGTTCGGCCATATTAGCTTGGCCTGCTTGCTCGGCCTTTTTGCTCGGCCATATTAGCTTGGCCGAACCCTTCTTCTTGCACCGGAACCCTATGGACCGGAACCTCATGCACACCTCGGCGAGCCCTACCACGCCTCCCGCCTCTACCGCCACGAACTTGACCCCTTCCTGACATCCTAATAAAGGACACAAGAGAAATAATTTAGCACATTAACTCATATGTGATCGTAACTTGACTCGCACGTTCGCCTACAACAATTCCATATATTTCTCTACCATATACACAATTCAATTTCACTACACATTAGCACTTAGTCAGTAAACACATACGAATCATTCTTTCATGATGAAATTTTTCCCACAAAAAATCAAGAATTCTTAGTAGAACGAGTATTGATCAAGTACCCCTCTAATTAGACCTCAAGGAATTTAACAGGCGCAAACAATATCCCAAAAGTCCAATCCCATACCCATTTAGTCACATAAGCATGTTATCACATAGTCACAAAATGCATAACACTTCCTAAGCATGCTAGATGAACCCATTGTGGTTAAACAACCACTTCCTACGAGCTCCAAGTATTCAAACCCGGTAGCTATGATACCAAGTTGTAACGCCCCAAATTTCTAGCCCAAATGATAATGCAACAATCATGGCTCTGTTAAAGGAAAACCAAATATAACTTCCCATACTTGCATTACATAATAATAATTCCTCATGCGATATTACATTGATTCAACAACAAGTAAATAACCAAATAAGCACCCCCAAGGGTTTACAATCTTCCAAGGCTTAAGCCCGGTACACAAAATGGTTATTCAAACCCACACATACATAGCCCTTGGCTTACAAATAGGATCACAACAAATGCGAACTTTAGTGCTCTTAACACGCACATTTCATCACGTCTTTTCCTGCACAAAAATCCGGTACGGTGAGCATAAAGCCCAGTAGGAAATCCTTAACAAAGTATATACATTTTATACAAGTCTCAAGAGATGAATGCACAGGCCATGCCATGCCTTTTTGAAAATAAAACACATCTTCATCTCTTGAAAACCATCATGCTCAATGATGTTATGCAACCTCAACTGTTCAAAATTTATCAATTTAATTAAAGGGGGAATTAAATACAACTCTGGTAATCCCTAGGTCGGTGTCTGCAAGTAGACTATACGAGTACTACCAATTATCATTTTTACCGGTATTAACCGGAAGACTCGACACCTATCCGTGCGACTTTCTAGTCTTTCACCAAGGACACCCAGGCCAACTTAAACAATTTCATCTACACCACCTATCAAGCCTTACCACCGTATTTACCCTAAAACCATTTCATGAAAACCCATTTCCTAACATTCTTTTCTCAATGCAAATTTCCAAAGCTTAACATAATCCAATGGATAGAAATGCCAATGTATGCTTAATAATGCTTTATCCCAAAACCATTTCATGAAAACCCATTTCCCAACATTCTTTTCTCAATTCAAATTTCCAAAGCTTAACATAGTCTAATGAATTGAAATGCCAATGTATGTTTAATAATGCAATGCAATGTTACTTCCATATTCAATTGTTCCACACAATATACCATTGTGATCAAAATTCCTAATCCTCTTTTCAACACAATTCCATAAGATGAATATATATATATATATACTTTTATATCCAATTCATTCAAGAGAATAATGTAATTTCCACATTTCGAGCAATCTCAACAATTTAGTCAATTCAAGACAAATCAACTTTTTGACAACAATTTCCAATTTCCAAAATAAACAACATTTCTCATTTTTTTCACAAAATTCGTCATTTATATATAAATAATCAATTTTCAAAACATCCATTTATTTTGGTATACAAAATAAACATGACAACATCTTCCAACAATTTTCACAATCTTTCAACGAAAAGACCCAATTTCTAGGCTTTCTCACCAAAACCATTCATCTCCAAGATATTTAGAAGAATCTCTCCAAAATCATCTTTCTTCAATCAATATGGTTCAAAACCATCAATTTCTATTTTAAAAGGAAAAGAAATTAAACCCTCTTTCAACATCACTCATCTTCTTGAAATCAACAATCAATTTTTCAAAGCTAATCAAAGGATGATTTCGAAAATCATCTAGATCTTGCAAAAACATATATATATATAACTAAAATTCCTACCTCAAGTTTTGAAGAAGAAATGAGATGAAACCCCCAAAATCAACGGTGTTGAAACTCGATCTTCACCGCACACAACAAAGCCCTCGAGATGATAACCAACTTTGGTGAAGAACTTAGGTCTAAATCCCAATGGATTTGGAGAAATCAAAGAGAGAAGATGACTTCTAGAGAGAGAAGCTCCTGATCTGGAATTCTAGAGAGTTTTAGAGAGAGAGGGGACTGAAAAAGTTATATGAAATATCAGATTCACGAACTAATATAACATGGTCGGCTCGAGTGTGGAATGCCCCGCTTAAGCGTCAAATACACTAAACCAGTACTTTTGCAGATAGGTCAAACTTCTGAAACCAAACATTCTCCACTCGAGCGCATAAACAGCCGTTCGAGCACATAAACTTCTGAAACCAAACATTCTCCGCTTGACCCCCGCCAGGGCGTTGCCTTTGGACCTGCCAAGGGGCGCTACCCCCTAGACCCCCGCAAGCTGACCGGGCAGCTTGACCCCCGACCGGCCTAGTCGAAGTGGCAAAACATGAAAGAAGGATCGAAACTGGGATCGCTACAGTTGAGGCCATAAGGTGCAAAGGCAATGCGAGCTAAGGAAATGCCGAGAGTATTGGGACCTAATATGTGCATAACATTTACGGGAGCGACCTTCGACCCAACTGGGTTTGATGTGTTTTGAGGAGCCAAGAGGCCAGAAATGAAGAAGTCATCGACTATGGCAAGCTTTGGGTCGTTGCAGACTTTGCTATTCACGAACACTGCATGCAAAGGAAATGGAGTAGTGCTTCAATAAAGATTGGGTGAAAGAAAGAAAATGTTATTTAAGCTAATTAATTTTCAATAATGTTACTATAATCACATGTAAGAAATTAAAAATTGTTCCTTTACAAATTATCACTACAAGAATTTACACAATTGCCGACCACTTTTGCCGACCAAAAATTTTTTTGGTCGCAAAAAAATGACATTTGGCGACCAAATATTAATTAGTCGCGAATGATCGTTATTTTTGGCGACCAAATATTATTGGTCGCAGAAGGTTATATTTTGGCGACTAAAAAATGAGTTGGTCGCAGAAAGTGGTATACTTTTGCCGACCAACTACAAATTTGGTCGCGAAAGGTCATATATTTTTTGGCGACAAAAAATTTGGTCGCCAAAAACTTATTTTCAGCAACCAAAAAAAATTAGTCGCCAAATTAGTACTTTTAGCGACTAATATTTTAGTCGCCGTTGATTGAGATTTGGCGACTAAAAAAGTTTGTCGGCGAAAGTTCCTTTTCTGCGACTAATATGGTCTTTTGGTCGCCAAAAGTGGAGGGGGGGGGAAGGAATTTGAAACATGGAGGGGGAAATGAATACCAATTCGTAAGAAATGAGATTATCCATTCCCGCCACTGCCATACGGGAATGGCTCTTTCGTTCCTCTCAGTCTCAGGTCGGCCATCGACCTCTCTCATCAGTTGCCTCGCCGCCCCTCCAGCTCCGCCGCCACCAAACCCTAACCCAACCGCCTTACCCTCCTTAACCTGCACCCTCCAGTGCCCTCACTTCCAATCGTACGCACCACCACTGCAGTTTCGAAGCTCCAGATCGAATCCAGATCGAACCGATTTCGAAGATTCAGTGATTTCCAGCGAAGATTCAGATATTCGAAGCTCCATCGAAGCAATTTCGAAGCTCCATC